TTCACCACACTAACTTCAGACCTCGTAAAATAAATTCTATAATAACCCCGGCCACACAGGTGCATACCCTGTAGAGACGTGTATATCCCTACAACTACCCAGGGGGGTACCCTTTCGAAGTTAGTGTTCATGGCCACACACAACCTAAACTACACAGGGTTTCCTCGACTACATGGACTGCGGAGGTTTTTGGTTCGGATATACTATATACCCTTCATGGCAACACACAGCCCCATTTCACATCCCAAAAAAATGATGGCCGCTATAGAAGTATCAAGGAAGAGACTCAGATAATAAAGGTCTACAATGAAAATCAGAAGCTCATGCGGCTCCGTCCCTCACGGCTAGAGCCCCTAGCGCACGCAATAGCGTGCGTAGCCGCCTGGTCAAACAAAAATCAACGATTAAACTTGTACAGATTTCGCTCCCCAATTTCCACTCTGACGGCCTAATGCTTCCAAATACATTACCCGACTGCGGAAATTGAAAGAACACGTCAACAATACTCGTGAATCGAATGCGGAAATCTACTCCCACGATGATAATGCCGACCTCACACCGCATAGGCGACTCAGGCCGAGCTCGAGAAGTACGGATGGAAGATTTTCGCCCAGCGCCCCACAGATCTGACCTCGCTCCTTCCGACTACTGGCTGTTCAGCCACCTGCAGCGCTCTCTGAATGGAAGAAAGTTCGAAACAGAAGACGATGCCAGAGGAACGCGATGACTTTTTCAAGTCCCCACCCTTTCCTTTTAGAAGGAAGGAATCATCAAGCTGCCAGAGCGTTGGCGTCGAGTAGCGGATTGTGATGGTGCATACCTCTAATCTTCAGGTTGGTTCGCTATTGAGATAATTACAGAAAAGTCGTGGGAAAAAAGTTATGAATCAACCTGATGACTTGAGAAAAGCATTTGAAACCACTTAAGCGGTATACAGTAGCGCTCAAAAGTCTTCGACCAAATGCTTTCACACTTTTTCGGTCATAACTTCTTCCTCAGGGAAGCAAATCGCGCGCAATTTTTATGTGTTCATCTAGAGCATATTTGACACTATCCACCGCTGCTGGACTGCAAAGCAGCAATTCCTCATAACTAAGAGCGAGACTTTTGTGGTAGTAGACTTTGCTTACAATTAGAGCAAAGTTAGTGACGTCTGCAGTTATTCGCACCTTAGGTGCGTTTTTCTCCTTCATTGTGCTTGGCTTTACACTCGTACACTTGACACACGGCAGAGATAAAGAAAAGAGAAAAGATGTTCCAAAAGGAACACCATCCGTATTTCCGATTGATCTTGAGTCCAGATTCTCTGGGATGTGTGGAACATGATCAGATCGTTGATTAGTAGAAGAAATCACTCACAATACATCCATGCTACACATATCGAAATTTCGCATGATTAGATCCAGTAGGAAAGGAGTTACGACTGAAAAGTACGAGTGAAGAAGCATTTGGCCGGGTACTTCTGAGCGCTACTGTACATCTCATCTTAAATGGCCAGGTATCCTTCACTAATTAGTATCAAGGACACCTCCACCTGCACGCTGAAGAATAGGGGGTGAAAATTTCATTCTAATCCTCTTTTCCTCAAAGAGGTGCAAAGAACACTTTTTACAGGTCTTTCAATACATATGGAAGACATCAGCTAAAGTGCGGGCATTTATTCATCCATGCTAAGTCCATAAGGCTAGCTAATAAAAACTGCTTAATTTAACACCTGAATTCACTTCAATCTCTCTAATCAGCTATTAAGGAAACGTACACAAGTCTGAGTAGACATTGCAACCTGCACGCACAGAAAACAGGCGGCAGTTGACCGAATCTCGAATACGTTCTGGTACATTAGTGGAATTGAATAGACGCATTGCCCTGAAAGCATTAAAGGTCATAGTATGTATAAGGGGAATAAGAAAAGAACAGCATTTAATTGGTCTAGAACAAAGGCGTTTCTGGGCCTTCTCGTGAGGTCAGTCTAGGTGGAGTAAGTCACCATATGCGCTTTGGTTCGTCAAAAAAGAAAATGATTTTTACAAGAGCGCAATCATATGCTCGAGAGTGGAGTCGGAAGAGAGCCATAAAACATTTCACAAAGCATCTTTGGAAATGGAAAAGCGATCGAAGTAGCATCTGAGAACATTTAACAAACCAAAGCTACGCAAGCGATACATCGTGAACGAAAAAAAAAAAAAACGCAAAAGCACCTTTCACGAGTATTGTCCCTTTTCTGCCTCTTCAGGAAATCTGAGTACTTGAACGGTTTGTCAACCGTAACAGAACTGGACATTTGTGCCTTAGATTTCACTAGGAGATCCTGCAGAACTTTATTCGCTTCTGAAAGAAAGAAATCTTTAGAAAAGACATCTTCGCCTCGACTAATGATTGGTCCAAATGAATCGCAATGAAAGAACCTTTCTTAGTTGCTCCTATATCAAATTCCTCGTCATCATATTGAGATCGAAGAATCATGTTGCACCATACAGACATTGCATCGAATTGACGCTCAGTGCGCTCGTCTCGGGACATGAAGTAATCTTCGTCACATGTCAGCACCATCTGAACAACTACAATAAGTGAAAAGCCACGGTTTAACAGATGGAATCCTAGTCGGATCCGCGGAAACGAGACTCAAAGACATGGGATTTTTCTAGAGAATTGTACAAGTCTGACCTAACAGCTCACCACTTTAAATTTCTCGAATTCTCTGCAACGCCAACGCAAGTTCATTACATTTTCCATTGAAACGAAATTGGCCGAGTTCTCACTTGTTTCAATAAACAAGTTAACTTCACTGACCCTGCTTCGAAACATCAGCGTTAGGGCGCTTGCTATAGGTAGCACTAGACTGACCACTATCGTAATCCACAGAAAACAGCTTTTGCTAAACTCTGTCAATTAGCTGATCTGTTATACAATCGTAAGCGCAGTTCATGACATTCTAAAAGTTCTGATATAATTTCCAGATGCTATATTCTAAATCAGTTCAGCCATGGTATCATCGATGCATTTACATCTCCAATGACACCTTTGCCAGCCAATGGATTTGAGGTAATTTGCCAGCGCAAGTTTCTAAGCTAATGTAGTGCAGTAGGAGAGTGTCCAGGCGCTGGACGTTTTGACAAAACCTCAACTAAGGAAACCGAAAAAGCGTCTACTCTACATGCAGAGCGCAAAGAAAACTGGATGCAATTTTTGAAGAGCCCAAAAAAGACAATGGCAGAGTTTGAATTGCATTACCTAGGCGATGAGTTTAATCTCCATAAGCCGTTAGGACAATAGGCAACCTAGTGAAAAGTAAGTTCCAAAGCACTGGATATAACGGCTTGGGAGATTATCAGTCATTGCCAGCAGCAGCACCGTTGGATTCGAAAAACCGATCACACGGCAAAACAAGTGCTCCAAGCGCTCCTGATTGCAAGACAAGAGAAATGATGTGAAGGAAGAAATCAGAGTCATACCGACCAGTAAATTTGGAAGCAGGGATGTAGTAGCCGCTCGCCGCTGCTAACGCTGTAAGCGCAGCCGAATACCGGCATTTAATGATAGCAGACGATTCTAGTGATGTCGGGCAGTGAAGTCACTGAAACCCCCCTCAGAAACGTCTACGAGGTCGAGCTTCGTAGGCCACGGTAACGATCAAGAAGAACGCCTGAAGGCTGGTATACAGCTTTGTCTGTTAGGCAAGTACAGAATCGCAAAAGGCATGCAATGAAGAACGTGAAGGTCAAGATTGATCGCAGTGGTGAAGTGGGCCCCTTTACTTACTAACCAGTCGGGTCACCCGGCCGGTTAGTAAGTAAAGGAAAAGGTTCGAAAGCAAGGAAATTTTTCGGCACTACTTTCACAGAGACTGCCAGTTATAGATCGTGTTTAAGCTCAGAGTCTTAAGATAGGGCTCAGCTGTAATCTCATTGCAAATGCCAAACAAATTTGGAGGTTTCTCTACTTATCGGAACTCGATTTTACCAATTGGTGTACGCAGGGCCTTAGACAACTTGTAATAGTACAAGCAGTCTGGCATGCTTCAGAGAATCATTTCTCCTATGTCAAAGAGTTAACAATAATTCAGTCACCTCTTTGATAACGCTACTAACCGCTGTGGCGGGGTGCAAACCAGCTTCAGAGACGGGCTCTTCTTCAGGAACAGATTTCATGGCAGAAGGAGGAACTTCCATTACGGCACGATTGTAACGCAACGGTGTAGAGCATGCTTAAATAGAGCTCCTCTGATAAGAGTACAGTACAAATACAAATGTACAAATATGTACACTACACTACACGGTAATATGATAAGAATAAGGATTTGCAAAAATCACGATGACAAACAACTGCCGTGCAATGAGTATCTCTAAAAATTATCGATATTACACCCACAGGAAATCTCACCAACACTTCTTGATATTTTATGTGGAGTTTTCGTAGAAACGACGTATGTGGCGTCGCCTGGCTGAATCGACGAGATGTCAGAAAACCTCGGCTCTGGTACAGGATAAGCGAGCTACAAACGCCAACAGTACTGTTGCTCTGTTCCTTACGGTCTCAGTATGGTACAGCTCAATGTTTTCAATTATTACCTGATTGCCTGGTAATTTAGGCAACTCTCTAGAACATGACTCCAAAAATGACCGCTCTGTAGCAGTAAGATCAATTGTGGGAGGGGCACGTGACGGAACTGTTTTCCTCGCTATAAATAAACAGAAAACATGTACCACTCAGCAGTTTATATTCACTTGTAGTGAAAAAAGGAAAATAGAAACCTTTAGCAAGCTCTCTTTGCCTTCTCATTTCCTGCAGCTTCTGCAATTTGGCATCTCGCTTGTTAGCTGTGGCTTTTGTTCCCGGAGATATAGTGAGCTATACAAATTTATAATGTAGTGGATTCAACAGTGCCGAAAGTTAAACGAAAGGAGCATAAAAATTGTATTTAATTAACTGAAAAGGTAATTAATGCCTCTTTAGTATTGAGCCTGATAAACCTGAGAATTTGTTCATTAATTTTGCCGATGCAATACTTTCGGATGTGTTGGGTCATGGCGAGACAACAAAATTAAAGGTGAGTGCTTACAAGGGGAGGATACTTGGACGAGTGTTTTCAGGATATTCACATCTTCATATTTGTTTTCTAACGCTTATCTCAAATCTGCGTTTCAAATTCGCGCAAGCGATCTGAAAAAACAGTCATGGAACTGTTTTCCTTTGTATTAAGCCGCTGCGTTGAACATAAAAGCGAACAGGGCGGCAGTTTGTTCTTTGCAACGATGGCGCAGTTGGCATAGTGGTGGACCCACAGGGACCTACAGGAATACCTGGCTCCTACAAGAGGAGTGATTATTTTGCTTTTTCATGAAACGTGGAACTAAACTCTTGGGAAATATTTCACGTCACTCGTATGTGGGAAACTACCTCGTATTTGAGGAACTTCGTGAATGGTAATCCAAGTAAAACTTCTTTGCCGCCAATGAGCGGATAACAGTACCTTCTCCACCGAACACTCAAGATGCTGTTATGGAATTTTTGCAGCATCATGTACTTTCGATGGAGGGTGGTAGAATGACTTGCTTGGCGAGGGCCCACTCTTTGGCAAAAATACTGTCTTTTTACGATTAGATGGGTTCATCGTCTTTATCATGAAGTGACCATAGAAAACCATTGTGATGATCTTTCTTCGACTTCCTCGCAGTACATAACGAGATTTTCCTACACAGCATCGAACGATATGAACAAAAAACTCTTCATCACCTTCCTTTCCCTTCTAGGTGCTTTCGTTTTGCAGCAACCGAGGTCTTCTATGGAATACGATGACATCACCTTCAGGCAGAACATTTTTAGAAGCGTTTTGATCCAAAACGATGTGACAACTTTCTCCCTCAACTTTCTGAAGCCAATTTTTGTCGATGCTCGAAGTTCTCCGTACTGTTCGAATGAAGCTGAAGCTCCTATTCGAACGCTAGAGAAGTCTTCCCCGAAACACATCCCAATGTTCATAAAATGCGAGGGATTCTCGCATATACGTAATATGAGGCGCGAAAACGTTATGCAAGCTATCAGGACTCGTTTCATAAGGAAGCAAAACAAACCTCCCCATTAAGGATCCAAATTTTCATATCAGCCTATAACTCCACCGCCCCACTAACTTCGTCACCAATGCACACCGCAGGCTGCTGCTCGGTTCGGTTATGTACTCAGCACAGTATCATTGAAGGGGGAAGCGACTCCGTTTTTTCCCAGGATCGTATTGCAGATTCGCAACGCAATTTTGATATTAGCGTTCGAAACCACCTACAGCGGCATACCTCTCCTTTGAATGGCCTCTACGGGCAGTTATCCTTACACTGTTAGCATTGTGCATCAGTAGAACTGTATCACTAGAAGATGTTCTTTCGTATATGAAAGTCATACTCGGTACGTACCGCGTCTGATAATCAATTCCAAAAAATGCAAAGGTACAGTAAAATGTACGAAAGTGTTTACCCTTGTGTTAATGAGTTGTGAAGTACTGAGTGGAGCTTGTTCAGGCTGATTCTCGGAAGATGCAAGATGGACATGTGTGGAGCTTTTTGAGCAAGGCGTATTCTAGAAAATAATCGCCGTTATTCTTCCCGAAATGATGTGCAGGGTTATATCCCTTACCTCATCCGAAACGATAGGTACTGTCCATTTTCCCGCAGTACGGGTGATGGTTTTATTTCTGTTAAATGCATAATCCTGACGTGATGAATACCTGAATGATAGAAATCCTACTGATATGCTTATAAGCTATTTGTATAATGAACACTGCTTCCTATTCAAAGCTTCCTATTTGCCTCCAAATATGGATACAACAATTTACTTCTTCCTCACTCTCCTCTTAGAAATTCATTAATGCAGACTAAGTGCTGGGTCATTCTATTCAATTATCAATTCCACGGCTTATCAGCATACTCTTTTTAGTTTAAGACAATTCTAACGTATTTCTCTAGAGATCAAAAGAACTGGGTAGAATATTCAATACCTTCCTTGATCCTTTCGATTTACAGGAGAAATTGTGTTGGGTTTGCGCTCCATTCCCTGGTACCGCCTTTCAAAATGAGTAACGTTATGCGAATGAGTATTATCAACAACGATGCAAATAATTGCAAGAATTCATGTTCAAACAGAAAAGTCGAATCTATAAAGTCTTACAAATTACACAGGAGTAGGTAGCTGCAATAATAAGGATTCTTAGTGAATTCAGAAGCAGAAAAAGGGCCAAGAAACACTATACTTCCGTTGAATAACCGAGAGTAAACTTCCCAAACGATCCCAGCATTGAGAATTAAGGTACAATGGATGAGAAAAGCTAGGATTTCGCGGAAAAATGTCAGTAATTCAGTGAATTCCGACCTACTCTCACCAAAGTTTCCTCTACGATGTATCGGAACAGTCATACTAAAACGTGTTCTTACTACGGAGATGTTTGAATCAGGAAATACAGCACCCTGTTTTTTCAAACGGTTTCCAGTTCGCGCGCTGTTACGTTTCACAGGTCGCAATTTTGACAGTAGAGCGCATTTTTCAATGGGAGCAGCTTAGGGCGTCGTTCTTGGTGGAACTCCTCGCAGCCGCCGCCCTGTGTGGTGCATTGGCTTCAAAAGCCACCTAAGCAACTCCTTCAAAAAGGGGAGTGTAGAAGTTGTAAAGAATTTAAGGAATCTTCAGTTCAACCCATCCTCATCGACGCAAATTGTGTCAATTTTATAATTTTTGAAGACCACAACAAAATCTAAACTCCTGCACATTCATATTGCACATTAGGAGGGTCCGGATTATCGTTTTTCTGCTCAGGACACATGTTAACCCTTGTATGAAATGGGAACGATCAGAAAGAGTATTCTGCGGTATTAAAAGGGAGGAAATCGTCAGAAGGGAAGTGTGAAAAAATCCGAAGGGATTCTCCTGTTTCCATAGAATAGTAACCAGACCTCGAAAGGTAATCACTATCCTTTTAGGACTCGGTTTTCGATTTTCGGCTGTCAGCTTCTTGTTGAACTTTTCCTTCCGTCCCGATTCGTGAGTGATATCTAAGGGGAATGAACGCCCAATTGGCAAACGTCAGCCATCGCAATCTCCCAAGTTCTAATGAAATGTGGCAGTCGAAAAACCAAAAACATTAGCTGCTAGATTTCTTAGCTGTATTTGAATCGAAACCTCATCGATATGTTGAATGGAAACGTAGTAAATGACCAAACGTAGTAAATGGTTAGAGTCAATCGTGTTCTCCTTCTTCCTGTCTTTGAATGAATTTTGGGGATAGCGGAATCTTAGCAAGAGAGATCTTTCGAGTGATCATTGAAGGCCTTTTATTTCCCGTTTGATGCATTGACGTGGTTTTGTCGTACATGATTTTCGAAGCATAGCAGCTGACCATGACCGTTT